GCTTTACATTTTATAAGGTAAGGTTCCCTATGAAATCTGCTCTTGGATTTCTTCAATAATTTGCCATCCTTCAAAAAAAGAACAGCTGAGCCATGGAAGACTTTGTGGTCTAAGGCCACAGGAAAAACAAGGTTTGCAGGTGAGCTATTACATGTGACACCAGTAATACCTTGGGTGGGGCAGGGGAAGAGAACCTTTTTTTTTTTCTTTTAAAGTTCTCTTTTGGAGTTGAAACAGAAGACTGACTTCAAAGGAAGGTGCAAATTAATATTCAAATAAACCTTCAGTATTGTTATGTGCATTGTAATACACACACCTGTGTGTGTGTCAGTGCTTACATCTCTTTGTACACAGTTGCCAGCCCCAAACACTTCACATTCAGTCTGCAGTCAACTCAGGGATGAGAGAGGGCCCTTCACATCAGGTCGTGCCCCAACAAGAGGGGTTTTCTCTCTCTAACCTCTGAATGGGCTGCCCCTCCTGCAATTCATCCTGTGTACCCACACAGCTGCCTTTGACTGAAGGGAATTTCCCTGGGCCTGTGCAGGGTCCACTTGGAACCCTCCATGCAGATGTTTGCTTGGAAGCCTCAACAATTAGCACCACTCTGGAATTTCCCTTTACACAGATGTAATACCCAGGTCTCCTCCAGGAGATAAGGCAACACAGAAGTTACCTGGACAAAATACAAAGATAGTGGAAGTTAGAGTATATCAGGCAGCTACACTGAAAACCTCCTAAACCTTGTCAAAGTAATTTTATATTGGATTACTTTGATGCACTCTGTTGTGCCCACGAAGTTACCAGCCAGCTTGTTTTACTCCCAGATAAAATCTTATTTGATTTTCTGCCAGAATCAGTGTTCTTTCAACATAGTTTCAGCTGTTGGTAGAAGGTATTTTTCTTCTCCAAGTTCTTGCTACAGTTACATAACCAGAAAGACTCGTCTCCATAGTAAACATGTTGTTTTATAGATGTGTGGCACATGCATAGAGCTCACGTGTTCAATAAAGTCAAACAAATACTGCAAACACGTTATACTTTCATAAAAACACTTTTGTTTACTAATCACTACTAATAATTATCCTTGGTCAGATTCAAGCNNCCCCCCCCCCCCCCACTGCACATATGCTTTGATAAGATGTATAATTAAAACAAAACAAAAAGACAACACCAAAAACAGCAACAGATTACATTCCTGGATCAATGTGATGATAAATAAAATAATATTAAAGCATACTACTACAGAAGCACGTTGATGGTAAACTTCACAGATGGTTTATATATATATCTATATATGCATATATAAAGACATTGTTTATGTTTCACTCAGTCTTTAAAATAATCTTCTCCTTGGAAAGTACCTACTTTAATAAACATGATTTTGTTTGTTTGTTTGTTTAGTGTGGGAAGCTTCTTCAAATCTAAGGAGCAACACAATTTTCATTTCTTCTTCAAATACCTACTGCCACAATAACACTTCTTTCAAATTAAAATGAGGATATGACCTTTTCCCAAAAGCAAATGGGAGTATAAAGCATTTAAACAAGAAGTCAGAGAATGAACAAAGAAGTCAAAGGCCAAAAACATACGTAATTCACAACAATATATGCCAGGATCAAAATTCATTTCCACATCCCATTACCATACTACTGAGGGAGTCCACAAAGGACTACAGCTCTCCTTCCCTCCCACACAATCAGATTGCATGCAAAACCTCTGCCACTGCACAACTGAAAAGCAAGGGGCCCTGGTCACATTTAATGGTTGCTCTTCATAAATAAATCTCCTCTTCAAGTTGTCCCTTGAAAATTAACAGATCTTTTGCCTTATGATGTATCTGATATATCATTATTATTTTTTCTTCTACTGGAAAACAAGCAAACATCTCGCCACAAATTTACAATAACCCAGACAGGAAAAAGTTACTGGGTTTCTCTAGAAAAATATGTAATCCTGATGGAAACATACATTCAAACATACACTGAAAAGAGAGATTCTGTGTTAGAACCACTTTTAAAATGAGGGACACATTTTATGAGAAATCAGAGTTTCTGCAAGCACAGGGCTGATCTACATCAAAGGTTTGGCTTCATGGTGAACTCCAGCTAAAACGGGAACACCTCTGCTCAGGGGTGAGAACATGGACTTTTCCATATCACTTTCCAGAAACCAAAATACAGAACCTCACTTTGTTAAAATCCTCCCGGTAGCACCACCAAAAAGGTAATTTCCTCCTGTTCCAGGAGAACCAACCCAATTGCTTCTAGAATGACGAGACACAGCAGACACTACTTTTCTCTGTGTGTAAGCATGAGGAATCACAGGTTTAAGTAACAGGAGACAAGACTTGTAAGCCTCTCTCACATGTTACTTTTGACTATGCTAATTGCCTATATCAAGCACTTGAGTTCATGTCTCTCACAATGTAGGAATTAGTAACTACAAGAAAGATCTGAATTTCAAGGCTGAGACATGCTGTGTTTCTTTTGCAAGGGACCACAGGATCACAGAGTTCACAGTGTCTTACCTCTTCAAGTCCAATATCAGTCCAAGACACAGGTGTTGTTTACAAAATCCCCTAAGAGGCATTTAAGTTATTTTAAAAATTGTGACTGCACATTTGATCCACACTTTGTAACTTCACAAACATTTCATTTCTACTAAGGCAAATCCTAAAAATTACATTATTCTGGGATCATACTAAATCAGCAGCCCAGTTGTTCCAAACAGTTCTTCCGTCTGATCGGATGTTATCTCTGTTTATAATATAAGTGCCTATGAATAAAACAAAAACTATAAACTACACCCTTATGAGGTAAAGTCATCTTGCTCCTCCACTTTTCCTTGCAGAAGATGCCATCCAGTATGCTTAGATATATAGTTTATTTTAGTCTTCAACAACAACAAAATTAATTTGTTTCAGTAGCAACTACTGAGACACTAAAGTCACAATTTTTTTTTTTCCTCTCCTTCTCCAATCATTCCCTTTCTTGTCCTCCCGAAACATCTACTTATGCTACTATACACTGAACAAGTCAAGGAAAGTATTCTTAACTAAATCCACAAGAAATGCTTTGACATTCATCTGAGACGAATAATTTGGAGGTACAGGAAAAACAAAGAGCTAAGTTTGTGATCACTGGTTATTTTTGCATTTAGAAGCACATCGACACTAGGATTTGATCTCTTTTTCTTTCAAAGGAAGCAAGAAACAATATATTTTAGCGCAGAATTCATAGTTCTTTACAAAAGAGTTTCTTATATAAGACTAAAGAGACAGCAGACAGTTGAACTGCTAACGTTCATAAGCTGAATACTGACAGAAATGTTACAAAATAAATATTATGAAAAACATTTAATTTGACTGTGCTAGTACTTCAAGTGAGAGAAAAGCAAAAATCAACATACAAGAACTGAACTTAGAATTTCAGGTTGGGAAAACTGAGACAAATTACCAGTGAATGCACAGGAGTTCCATGAAGATTGAGAAAACTTACTTCACAATATTTTCCTATGTTCAAGTGAGTAGTAAAGAATCCTTTACTCAGTAATAACATATATAAAATGTTTCTATAATAGCCACAGATCTAGTTTTCAACTTCATAAAATGAATTTAATTCACTTTAAGGTGAATTTACTTTGAGAACCAAGAAGTATTTCCTTTCTTTTTCAAAGACAGAGCTATTCAGCAAAATTACACCACGCATTACTGTGAGACTTACCACCTCTTAAGAAAGAAGAGCAGCCTGGTCTAGTGGTTGGTGACCCTGCACATAGCACAGGGGTTGAAACTAGATGATTTTTGAGGTCTTTTTCAATCTAGGCCATTCTATGATTCTATGAAAAAAGGTTAAAGAATCTTCAAGGATTCCAGGAACATGTTTCAACAGGATAGTACTATGCCAGTAAGAAAACAAAAATATTTTTGAGGAGTAATGGTTCTCATAGCAGCCTTCTTCTGTAGCTATAAGAGACACAAAGAATTTCCTCTCTGTAATTGTTCAAACTCTGTTAGTTTTCTGTTCCTGTAAATTTATTACCCTTCCTTCTAGCAACTATCAAAATTGTTTTTCTTGCACCAGAAGTTAGAGATTAGGATATGCAAAGGGAAGATTTTCTGTGCTACTCCACAGCAGGTAATTAACATACCTTTGTGTCATAAATCCCTTCTGAACATAAAATAGCCACATGTTGCACACTGGGGCGTGGCAGGGCTATACTCATTTCTGCCAAGTACACAAAACTGTCTGCAAGTCTGTAGACAAGCACAAAACATTACTTCACTACTTAAATACAAAGCATGCCAACATCATCAGTTACTGGTTTAGTTACCGTGTTTGATAAACTCTGTTATGTGCATAGGTAAAAAGATCCTATAGCCACCGGGCACCTCCCAGAATGAGACCATTGTAGCAGTATAGCAGTACCTACCAAAGCAAATAAACCAAGTAGGAGTATTTTCCACTTGTTGCTCACCTCTATTTTCCAGCCTCCCGTTTGTAGAAGCAAAAAATGCACATGGACGTTTATGTGATAAAGAGCAGCCACGTCTTGCAAAGATCCAAACCCTGAGCCTGTTGCATATTTCAGTTTTTATGACTCAACTCTGACATTCCAAAGGAATACAAGTCCTTCCTGAACAATAAGCACCTCACAATACTTAGTACTTGCTCACAATAGAAACTGTGAGATATGGAGCTTGGAAGAATTTCTACATCCTTCAATTCTTCTAAACACAGTTGAGCACAATCATCTCAAAAGGAGATGGAAGTGCTGCCATGCTTTTACTACCTATGCAAGCAAAAATGTAGTTATCTTCCCCTGTATGAATCCACATAAATGAGATCCAATACAGGGTGACTGTTCATAGCAAGAAGCTTCTTATACCACTTCTGTCATCACATCCCCTCTAGGCTGGAAAAGGCTCCATGCTAATTTAAGTTCTGTTTTCCTATAGAAAGGGAACAGAATCCACAACATAAGGAAGTCTGACTTACAATGAGTGGGGAGTCCCTCAGAGCTGACCGTGTAGAATACAAATCTCTTCTTCTTTTAGAGTGGTAGAAGTCCAAGCAATTCCATTAAGCAACACCTGGGAAGCTCATGCGAGTCTGCTGCTGGATCTGAAAACAAACATACCAGATTTAAAATAAACTTTCTGCTACTTTGTCTTCCTATACCTGGAAAGTATGAGGGAGCACAGGAGTATGATCTATGAATATCTGGAAAGCTTTTTACTCTTCTCTTTTTTCTTATTATTGTTAATTAAAACCTTTCCTTGAAACACAGCACCTATAACTACATCTTCCTCTCCTGACAGGTATACACTAGAAGTTCAAGTCAGCAAAATTCTCCTACAACTAAGCAACTAAGTTTTAGTCTACTAATACACTACCTGACTAATACATTTGTAACAGAAATCTTCCTTGTCCAAAGGGCCCAGAATTCTGAACAACAGATGCAACTCTGCTTAGGGTCTGGGAAACTCGCTTTCATACATCTGGTCAGCACAAAGAAGAAAAAGAATCCTGCATGTGAGGAGATGCTGGGGGTTACTACCATCTTCGACAAATCCTCACCATTATTCAGCCATTGCTTTCTAGCAACCAACACACAGTTTTGTATTTAGATGCACTTTTTCTGAAGACGTTCCAATTTTCCAGTTTTCACAGCCTGTAACACTTCTCTGTACAACATCAACACTGCCAATAAGAAAAGGCTTATGACAAAAGCTATGTACGTGCTCAATTTGAGCTAAAAAGGATCAATATTTTAACCTGTTTCTACAATCATAGACTGTACAGGTCTTCATTCTGAGTATTTCAATTTCTGTTGAACAAGTCAGCTCCCATAACAGCCTGATGATAATCTTCCCAGAATTTTATCATCAGCAGAGGGCAAACTGGTATCTGGGTACGACACAGCACTTACTGTTTTCAAAAACTAGTGTATCCTTAAGTTTCCTACAGTGCTTTGATGCTTTCTTGATCCATCTTCAAGATCAACAGGAAAGAACAGAATTCCTCAAATTATATGTAACCTTGATTCAAAACTGTTATCCACTATGTATATTTGGGGAAAAAAAAAATTACAAATTATATATAGCTAAAGCTATATATATACATAAAACTTTTAAGCTTACACTTTAACATTTGTGCATGCTGTGAATAGACTTCTTTTCAGAAGTAGAACTAAATTTTTTTGCATTTGCTGAGTTAGTGGCATTACTGCCTTCATTTAGTATTATTCTTAAAATATTGGCATGTTTTCCAAAGAATAAGGAAATAAATTCTTTTTCCTGTTTTCAGCTCACTGAGCTCTGAGTAACACATTTGCCATCTTTTACCAATTGTCTATATTTAATAACCCCTAATTTCATGTTTACACTGAATTCCTCACTTCTTGTTTGTTACACTCCTAGAAATGCCACCACCACCTCCAGCTGGTTCGAAATCTAAACATCTGTGATCTAATTTTAGGATTTGATCTTTTAACGTATGAGCTCGTGTATCAAAATATTAAGGCTGGAAAAACTGCGTTAACCATGATATTTCATATTAATTCAAAGTTCTTTCATTTGTGCTGCCTTTTAAGATTGGTGACTTAAAATAGCTATTAATGCAATAGTCCGTTGACATTTTTAGCCTGTAGGAGCCTGCAGTGGGCAAAGGCAGCTGAAATAAAAACATATTTGAGTGATGAACCAGCTTTACGATTTTATTAGTCAGACTTTCCCAAATCTATGGCTCGCATCTTTCCCAGTATCTCAAAAATTAAGCTGCTTCACAATAAAAACTTCCAACCAGTCCCTCATTATAAACTTCTTATGTTCAAGGCAATAGAACAACTTCATGATAAGTCCCTACAAATAAACACAAATACCTAGCTTTGAAAAACAGGGCCTTTAGCTTATTGAGTTGATGATATGAACAAAGTAAGAAAAATAGAAGGAATAATCTGATATAGATTCATCTGAGAAAATTATGTTACTCATCAGGAATATATTACATATCACACTGAAATAGCAGGACCCTAAAGGGGACCAACAAGGTCAGACAATACACAGCAATCCCAACAAGTCACAGGAAAAGAAAGCCAAGAGTTACACAGAATGGTACCTACAGCTCTCCATTTTCTTTTGTAGCCCCTTGTGCAAGAGTTTTGGCCTTGCCTTTACAACTGCAGAATTTGTGATCTACATGCCACGTAGGACAAGCCCAGTAAAGGGGCATTCACCTTGAACGATGTTCCCAAGGGTACCTGAGAAGTCCATCAGAGAACAGAGGCACTTCAGAATGTCTGCAAATAGAATGCACTTTCTGGGGGGGGGAAGGAGGGAAACACAGCATAGCATAAAACATCACCTCCTCTACTCCTAGGAGATAAAGATCAGATGCTAAATCTGGAGGACAAAAGCAGTAGTTCTTTGATCATGCAGATATCTATATAACTCCAGTCCTTTTATAACTCATCTAGTGAACAGGACAACAGGTAATAAGTTATTCTCACTAAAAACAGATTTGTTGCTGAGTATTTTGCAATATAGGTGCGCTTCCTAAAATCTTGTGGGAAATCCAGACCAGATAAACTGCAACACTTCCCAGCCTATTGGTCCATCTACGGTTTAAATTTTTTTGTATTTCTGAGAGAAAAAAAAAATCCCCACTTGTGGAGACCCAATGCAAAACTTCTCACTATGACTTTCACAGACATCAGAACAAGTAGAGTGTGATACATCGGAATAGAATGACAAAAGGAAGACCAAACATAACTCTCAGAGGGGAGCTACAGCTAATGTGAGCATCACAGAAAGATGCTCATTTAATGCAGAACAAAGGGAATCAATTATCTGGTACCTAAGGAAATTAAAAAAAAAAAAAAGGGAAAAAAAAAAAAGAATATGTAGTAGTTAATTTTTTCACAGCTCCACAATTCATTCAGCTGTTTTATGTACTATACCAATACTAGATAAGCTACATCTCTAAGTATTTCTGGAAAAGCCTGCAACAAACGAATACCAAACCTGGCAATTAGATGTCATATGGTAGAAGTGTGCAGCAGGCAGAACAAGGCCCTTCAGGAATGATTGGCCAATTCTCTCAACTTCTCAGTGTTTGCCACTTGTTCCTGCTGCAATTGCTGGTCAAGCTAATAGCAACATGACTGGAATGAGACTAGGAAATAAATCCAAGTAACTCAAGTAATTGAGCTAATAATCTCAGACAGGAAAAAAGCCAGATTTTTAGCCACACTGTTAGCTGAACCAGCTCATTGCATGGATGTCAATACCCATGCAAGAAAAAGAACAAACTGAGCAGCTGCACAAAGGAACACAGAGAGCAGCTACCCCATTTTTGGAAGTGGCATGAAATTATGCTGATTGACACTGAAAATGGAACTGAGAACAAAGTAGCAGTAAGAAAGCAAGCGTCTTGCCAGAATCAGCCTGCAATAAACATGACCTCTAAATTCAGTTCGATGCATGGGAGCAAAAGCCATCAGTAATGCCAGGTCTGATTGAAACCACACATTAACATCTTACAGTTTGCATGATAGATAAGCCAGTTATAAATGCTATTATGTGGTGCTAGCTTTAATTGCTCCAAGCTAAATATAACTTGGAATCTAATAGCTCCCCCTCAGCTATTCTGTCTTTGAAAAAGAAAAAATTCAAGTTAGTAAAAGCAAATAGGTATATCCAATTGTGCATCATCACACAGAAAAAGTAAGCAAACCACTGGGACAATTAAGTTGGAGTCTCAAATACTCATGCAGCACTCCTGGTTGCAGTAGGCTGCTGTTTGCTCTCCTCTTACACCAACCACCCTGGTTCCAATTACAGCCAGCGAGTGAAGCACACGTACCTGCTCCTGTCTAAGCACTGCCATTTCTCTGCTCTATTAGCAGGCTGTACTGAATCCCACTTGCCCAATGGTTTCAGTCAAGCTACAGCCCTGGTACCCACGTGCTTTTCTCTGTGTACCACCTGGCTCAGCAGCACAGGGGAAGAAGACGAGGGCAAGTGTGCACACGTGTGCAGCTTGATCTTCGCCTGCTGGTTTTGTACTGGTATTACAGATACAAGGGGTCCAACACCTGATATGGCAGCAGAGACTACACCACCCTGATAAAGGCATGAAACATGTTATTCTGCCTACTTGCACCAAATCATTATTTCAAAAAACTTAAATGCAGAGTTCTATGCAACATGCTTTAATTTCCCTCTCTGAGCTGATAAAGGCAGAAAATTCAGCTGACAACTAGAAATACATTCTACAGATTCAGCATTTTTGTTAACCAGCATTATAAGTCATTATGTAACTGAAGTTCCCCACTTTTTCTACCGTTCAAGGTTGGGGGGACAGACGGACGGACATAAATCACTGCTGTAATGAAACAGGAGACTTCCCACTGACTGCAACACCCTTTCTACACCCCCCTCCTCACTGTGCCATCACCTGACTTTTCCCCCTCCTCCACCTATTTTTCCTCTCTGGCTTTATTTATCCTCTGCTCATTTTACTGAGGTGAGGTCTTAATTTAAAAAAGCAAACAACCAACCAACCCTCCCTTCCCCCTCCCCCTCCCCCAAAAAAAACAAAAAAAAAACCACCTTATTTTTAAGAATTCTTGTTGACTTCACCCCTTGTTTGTGGTGCATGCAGACAAGAATGTTACTATTTATGGAAAAAAAAGTATTCATTAGACCATAAGAATTACTGAATGTGGCATTAGAGATGAATAGAGGGGCCAATTGACTCCAGCCCTGCTTGCCTTGCAGAGCTGAGCACGCATTGCAGGAGCACAGCTGGAGGTCTGCCAGGAGGAACCTCCTGCACTGAAAAACCCAAAGCCAGTATCCCACACTTCCTGTCCCCTGGCCCACCACTTTCTGAGACAAGGAGCAGGCTGGATAGACCAGGCTAAAGGAACTCTGTGCATTTGTTGTTTATTGTGAGAAATGTTAAAGCAAGCCTCCTGACATGCGCTGTTCCACATTAGAACATCCACACTCTCCTGCTAGCAGAGCTGACACAGAGCAGAAGAAGAGAAGGAAGGCTCTCTGCTGTGAGTGCAGAGACAGACTTCTTCCATCCACTTCTGGTAAATGCAGTAACAGAGC